GTCCTGCCTGGGTGTAGATCCTGGGAGCCTGAGATGAGTGAGGGGAGTAGGGAGGCAGGGGTGCATGCATCAGGGCTTGCCCAGCCCCGAGCCCCTCACCCTCACACTGGAGAGGCCTGCGCCGTGCTCCCACTAGCACCCACAGCCCAGCCTGAGGTCTCTTCCAACCCAAATTTTCTATGGTTTTAAATCACTTTAGTTTAGCTTGTCTTTGCTGGGCTGCATAAATACTAGACTGTCTTAAAAATGTTTAGAACTGAAGTCTGTCTATTGCAAATCTAGAAAAATACTTAGTATTACTGAAGTAGGAAACAAAAAATGTGGTAGATGAAAAGAGAATATTTTGGAAATCAGTCATCTAAATGTTGTTACTTCCTAAGTGGACTTAAGAAGAGGCTTGTTGTAGGAATCTCTGAATGCCTGACACAAACTGAAACTAAACTCTTTGCCACTATCTAACTCAGGGATTTTATTCACATACACATTCTCTGTATAATCTATATTTTCCTTTTCCCATAATGGCTGGCTAAACACTTTGCTTCCTTTTGGGTGCTGCTGAACTAACAGTGTAAAACTAGCTGAGAATTAATCTTGTGTTGATCTTCACCTCTTGTTAGGTTGACTGGGATTATTTTATACTGCAAATAAGTGGCTTGTCACAGTGCAGTCCTCATCAACTCAGAGTAGTTTTAATCTGTTTAAATTATCTGTTTAAAATATGCACATTTAGAAGTTGTCTTTTTTGTGGTTTTTTTCCTCTTTCTTTCTATTCGCAGATTGATCTGTCAATTGATCCGAAAGATTTACGAATTGAAACTAAGCGAGCCAGTGGAGCTGGAGGCCAGCATGTAAATAAAACGGAGAGTGCTGTGCGGATTGTCCATATTCCAACAGGTATCTGCACATTCCTTTTATTTACATTGCAGATTCTGTATTACGTTTTCATAACTAAAATGGAAACAGCATGTGAGTTTGAAGGGTCAGGAAGCTATAAAGTTGTAGTTCTGTTCTCTACTAGATAATTATTATTTTCTTAAAAACAGGCATTAGTATTGGGAGGCAACATAATTTAAACATGCTATTTGTAAAACTTTTTCAAGGGATGGGTTTCAAAATCAATTTTTTAAATGAAATTTTAAAAAGATGCTTTAATAAGGAGGACAACATCTACTTGTTGCAGCTCCCAGAGCCACTGTGTAGGCATGGCCAGCATGCAAAAGTTAACACTACTGTTACTCTGAACCCCTCCACTGATTTGCTTGCTAAACAGCAGTTACACTTGAAATTCAGCATTGGATAAGGGGGAAGAGGGTGTGGCATTAACCTCCTTGTGTGCTAGTCATACTGACAAAATATGCAAAATATAGATACTAAGACTATTTTCTCTCTTTTAAATTGGATATCAGTTTTCTGTTCTTCCACCAGCTCCATGTTGTCTACAATATTCAATTTAATCATCTTGTCTATACCATAAAGAACCTGCACAACTCCATTCTTGCCTAGCTGTCAAAATTATTTTAGACATGTAAGACCAAATACAATTTCACTTATTCAGAGGTTCATAGATTGTTAAGGGCTGGAAGGGACCTTGTAGATCATTGGGTCCAGTCCCCCTACACTAGGCAGGAAAAGACAGCTGGGCACAAGTGAACCCAGCGAAGTGACTGTCCAATCTCCTTTTGAAGATTTCCAGGGTAGGTGACTGCACCATCGCTGGAGAGAGTTTATTCCACAGCTGGACACCCTGACTGTGAAGGAGTTTTTCCTGGAATTGAGCCTGAAGCGGCCTTCCAGGAGTTTGTATCTATTTCTCCTGGTCTTCTCCAGGGGTGCCCTGGTGAACAGCTGTTCACTGAGTTTTTGATGCACTCCCATTACCAAGTCCCCTCTCAGCCTCCACTTTTGTAGGCTAAAGAGGCCCAAGTTCCTCACCCTCTCCTCATATGGCTTGTCTTGCAAGTCCCTGATCATACAGGTGGCTCTTCCCTGGACTCTCTCAAGTTTTTCCACCTCCTTGTTGAAGTGTGGCGCCCTGAACTGGATGCAGTACTCGAATTGCAGTCTCACCAGTGTGGAGTACAGTGGGAGTATCACTTCCTTAGTTTTGCATGAGATGCAATGGTTAATGCATGCCAGCGTGTTGTTTGCCCTGCTGGCCACAGCATTGCACTGCTGGCTCATGTTCACGCAATGGTCAATCACTACCCTTAGGTCCCTTTCAGCTGTGGTGCAAGTCAAATTGTTGCCACCGAGCCTGTAGGTATGTTGGGGATTGTTTGCCCCCAGATGGAGCACCTTACACTTCTGAGTGTTGAACTTCATCTGGTTCCGGTCCGCCCAGCTCTCCAGCCTGTCCAGGTCTGTCTGTAGCTGCAACCTATCTTCTGGCATGACCATGCTCCCCCATAACTTGGTTGTCCACAAACTTGGCCAGCGAGCTTTTCACCCCCACATCCAAATAATTGTTAAAGATGTTGAAAAGCACCAGTCTAAGCTCAGACTCCTGAGGGACACCACTGGCCACTTCTTGTTAGGACAACACAGATCTGTTCATGAGAACTCTCTGGGTCCTACCATGCAGCCAGTTTTCCACCCACCGAACTGTTGAGCAGTTAAGCCCACAATCTTCCAATTTTTCTGTAAAGATATCGTGGGATACTGAATCAAAAGCCTTTTCAAAGTCTAGGTATATAATGTCGACCTTCTCTCCCGTGTCCAGGTGGCAAGAGACCTGTTCGTAGAAGGAGATGAGATCGGTAAGACAAGACCTACCCATGACAAAGTCATGCTGGCTGTCATTCAGAATCTTACCTTGAACGAGCGTATCGCACATAGATTCTTTAATGAGTTTTTCCAGGATTTTCCCTGGGATGGAAGTTAGGCTGACTGGCCTGTAGTTGCCTGGGTCATTCCTCTTCCCATTCTTGAAAATGGGCACAGTGTTGGCCCTCTTCTAATCCTCAGAGATCTCCCCTGTGTGCCACAATATCTGAAAGAGTTTTGCCAGGGTTTCTGCAATGACCTCATCCAGCTCCATCAGCACTCTTAGGTGAAGTCCACCTGGACTCATAACTGTCTAGCTTTTCTAGTTGGCATTGCACCAGCTCAGCATCCACAGTGGGAAGGATATCATTCCCACCATGCCCCCTGTGATCCTTATCTTGCTTGTCTTTCCCCTTGGTCCGGTGAAATACCGAAGCAAAGCGGGCATTCAGGAGTTCAGTTTTTTCCTGAGTGTCTGTTACCAACTGTCCCGAGGTGTTAAGCAGGGACCCCACGCTAACATTTGTTTTCCTTCTGCTCCCTAAATACCTAAAGGAGGATTTCTTATTGTCCTTGACTCCCTTGGCTAAATTAAACTCAGTTGCCGCCTTAGCTTTCCTTATCATTTCCCAGAAGTGCAGACCACTGTTGTATACTGTCCCTAGCTTCTACTGTGTGTATGCCTCTTTTTTTCTTTTTCAAGAGGACAGCGATGTCCCTATTGAGCCAGGAGGGCTTACCAGCCCTCCTGCTACCTTTCCTCTTCGTGGGGACGGTTTTCTTTTGTGCTTTGAGAATTGTGTCCTTGAGGAACGACCACTCTTTATGCACCCCATTTGCCTTCTGTCCCTGATCACGCATCACCTCCCCTACTAATGTCCTGAGCTTGTTGAAGTCAGCATTTTTTAAGTCCTGGGCTTCAGTTCTGGTAGTTCATTTGTCAGCCTTGTGGCGGACAGCGAACTTGATGAGCTCACGGTCACTGTTGCCCAAACTATCCTCAGTGTTCAAACCACACACCAGATCATCTCCTTTGGCCAAGACCAAGTCTGGGAGAGCAGTACCTCTGATTGGCCCTTGCACTTCCTGGGTCAGAAAGAGCTCCTTGATTTACAGTTAAGAAGCTACATGACTGATCTGACCTAGCCAAGTGTTCCTTCCAATCTGTGTCTGGGTAATTGAAGTTGCCATTGCAAACCAAGTCCCTTGCACATGCGGCCTCTGTCAGTTCTTGAGAGAACTCCAGATCAAGCTCCTCCCCTTGGTTCGGTGGCCTATAGTAAACACCCACAGTTAGGTCTCTCTCACCTTCCCCCCCAAGCTTGACCCAGAGGGTTTCAAGCTGCTTATCTTTGGAGCCAATGTCAGTCTCCAGAGAGATGTACTGCTCCCTCACATCAAGAGCTACCCCTCCTTCTTTTCTACCTGCTCAGTCCCCACTGTGCAGGGTGTAGCCCTCTACGGCTATGCTCCAAACATGCGAGGAGTCTCACCAGGTCCCCATGATCCCTACCAGGTCATATAGCTCACTAGAGAGCAGGAGGGCTAGCTCCTCCTGCTCGTTTCCCATGCTCTTGGCATTGGTGTACAGGCAGCTCAGGCCTCCAACTGACACCCTCGATTTCCTGAGACGCTGTGGGAGAACTGTTCACTTAGCATTTTCAAAAACAGTTATCTTAGTGTCCTCCACGTGGGAACTTTCCTGTGTGCCAGTCCCCAGGCATGCTGCGCTTGGAGATTCCACATCTGGCAGCAGAGTCAGTAAAGAGCCCTGTCTAGTAGATCAGCCATCCTGGCTGAGAACAGGGCCTTACCTCTCCATGTGAAGTGGATGCCATCTCATCCAAGGGTCCTCTCTCCCTGAAGTGTGTGCTGTGGTCAAAGAAACCAAATCCGTCGCAGTAGCACCACTGTTGGAGGCGTCTGTTTACTTCTTCCATACAGCCTTCCCTCTTGGGTCCATGGCCTGCAACAGGGAGCACAGAAGAAAAAACTACTTGAGCCCCGAGTCCCTTGAGCCCAGCCCCCAGAACCCTGTAGTCACTCATGACCCAGTCCAGATTACTCCTGGCTGTGTCCTTCGTGCCCACATGGATGAGGAGCGTGAAGTTGTAGTTGGAGGGATGGACAAGCCTAGGGATCCTCTCCGCAACGTCCCGGATGTGGGTCCCAGGAAGGCAGCAGACCTCTTGAGCCAAGGGTTCCAGATGGCAGATAGGTCCCTCTGTGCCCCACAGGAGAAAGTCCTGTCCCCCCACCACCACCACCCAGCGTCCCTACCTAGGGGTGAAAGTACTTGTCTCCTGAGTACTTGCCTCCTCCTCTGGTGTCTCTGTTGGAGTTTCCACATGTGTAATGAGGGGAGCATACTTGTTATGCAGCGTCTGGGGAGGAGTAGTCCGAGCTCTACATTCTCTGGATCTGGAGACTACTGTCTTCCAGGTAGCTCTGGGAGGGTCTTTGTGGCTAGTCTTCTTCATGGTCACCTTCTCTTCCACCTTCTTCTCTACTTCTTTTTTCCTGGAGTAGGGCCTGGCAGTAGCTGTCGATATAATCTTTGTCAGCCTTGATAGTGTGTAACTGGCGTACCACCTCCTCAAGCTCCCACACTCAGCTCTCCAGAGACTCCACCAGGGAGCATACCCCATAAGTAGCGGTGCCCCCATGCGCAGTTGTGCCAGGCGGCCCCCACAATCCAGGGCCACGGGCTCTGTCTAGGTGGAGGTCTCAGCGATGCCCGAGAGTGATTGTCTGGTAATAGGCTATGCTACTACCCCCGAACTACCAGCAAACTGCTTCCCCTTTTGGCAGTCCCTGTTCACTGGGTTCCTAGTCACAGGCTCCCTGGTCGCCTGTGGAGTCTCCTTTTATATCCATCTGGGCCTGGGCTGACTCAGCCCCTTTATTATGGGGCCTTGGTAGATCCTGTTCTACTCTGAGCCCCTGAAAAATTGCTGATACAAAGTGCAGGTGGTTTCTTCTCTGTGGTTTATTGTTGTGACTATTTTAAAGCTGAGATAATGGTACATTGCAAATGTAGATAAGTTAATAGTTTCTCAAGCACTAGAGAGAATGGTGAAATTAGGTCATGCTTTGAATTCTGAGGTGAGATAGGCTGTAGGCCTTTATGTTTTAGAAGTTTTTTTTGACTGCTTTCCACCTCCTCCCGTGCATACATTTAAAAAAAAATATATTTTTTTAACCTTTGCATAAGATAATTTCTATGTGATCATATTCTTATTAAATAACTTATGAATATAAAGAGATTTAACATTTCATACTCTAATTAGGTGTGGTGGCTGAATGCCAAGAACAAAGATCTCAGTTGAAAAACAAAGAGAAGGCTATGAAAGTACTTCACGCTAAACTGTATAATATCCAGGTGGAAGAAGTAACAAGAAAGAGATGCAGTACCCGAAAGATTCAGGTATGATTTATTTTGCAAATGAATGTGTGTGTGTGTGTGTGTGTGTGTGTGTGCGCGCGCACATACATGCATTCTTCACTGAGGTAGAAATAGGATACTAGGGGTGCATCTGCACATGATGCTATGTCACGGTAGCGAGGTAGCGTCCGTGGGTGTCTATACATGACAAGCAGCTGCTTTGCCATAGTGACATGCTTCCCTGGTATAACACGCCACTACAGCGAAGTAGCTGCTAAAAATAACCGTGTGCTGATCATACGGTACAGTACAGGCTGTTACTGTGCTGTGATTTAGTACTTCCAAAAGGAAGTACTAAATCACAGTGCAGTAACAACATTGCCATAGTGACACATGTAGACATGTCCTAGGGAAAGTAGGGTCAGACTGGATCCAGAAAGGAGTATGAAATGATCAAATAGAATGGTGGGCAGTGAACCAGAAGAAAAATGAATTGGGTGGAATGTGTCTGTGTTCCAGTATCAGGATGAAGAAGACTCAGGGAGAGGAAGAAAAAAGGAACGCTTGAAGGAGGGCAAACTTTGGCAAGACATGGAAAGAGGAATAAAGGAAAGCATATTGGACCTGAAAGAGACTAGAGCAGGGGGAGGCCCAAAGAGCTATAGAATGCAAGCATAAAAAATAGGAGGAGGCACGTGATGTATGCAAGGAGACTGAGGAAATGAGTGGGGAAAGACAAAAACTCCTCTGCCTCATTCCCTTCTATATTTCCAGAAGGAATAGTTCCCACCATCAGAGATTCCATCTGTTGTCTGATAATATCTTAGAAAAGAGGCCTCAAGATCTCTCAAAAGAAGGTTCTGTTCTTGCACGTCTAGTCTGTAGGGACGGAGGAACATGGGATTGTATTGTTTTGAATTGTATTGGAGATGCGTTTTGTAAAACATACTTGTATATATGGTACTATACTGCAGTAAAAGCTGTGTTATCTGGCATCCATGGGAAATGTGGAGTGCCGGTTAATCAAATATGCTGGTTATCTGAGAGGCATCTTTGCCTGTTCGGGCCACCGCCCCTCCTGCCGCGTCTGGTGCACCAGGGCTTTCACTCTCTGGCGTCAGTGTGCCGGTAGACAGGGAGGGGGGCCTCATGCAGGTTGCTTTGCCCTGGGCCGTGGTCCAAAGTCGGCGAAGTGGGACTCGGTGAAACTGGAAGTGCCATGGTGAGACTTCTGGTTTCGCTTTTGCCGTGTCAATCGGCATGCCGATTTAATAAAGTGCCAAACAACACAGCTTTTACTGTATATACCTTTTTTGCTGTATTCAGCAGTTTCTATCACTGGTGAAATAACTTCTCTCTGAAAATATTTAGCAACAAATACCAGTAAAATACAAATATTTTTTCTGCTGTTCCACTAGCCATAATAGTTAGTTGTATTTTAATTGTTTTATATTAGATTAAATAGAATATTGATTTCTTTACAGCCAAATATAACACACAGCTTATTTTTATTTAAAACTTCAGAAGATGAGGTTTCAAAATGCATAGTTGGTTTTCATATTGGCTAATTATCTTGTACGTTGAGCTAAGGTTTTGGAGCCAGGCAATGTCATACAGGGCTTGAAGGGCTTCTATTACATATACATTGTCAATAGCAGTATGTCTGCTGGTCCTGCACTAGTTCTCTAGGCTCCTTCAAGGCTTAATGTGGCAGACATTACAAGCCCCTGAGTAACATTCAGACTGCTTTCTCTGTATGGTCCTGGGGCAGGTTAAGTCTGTCTTTTGAATCATTACAACTAGAAACTATAAAAAGAATAAAATGCAATACCAGTTTGTAACCATGGTAACTTACAAAATATTTGACCTTTTAATACTGTGGTATGACATGCAAAAACATACAGTAGTTCAATATAAACTCCCTTTTCTAACTATTTTTACATATACAGTACTGTACAGATCTAGAGACCTACTGAAACCAACTGAATAAAATACAACTACAGCAGGAGTGTCAAAGCAGGGAGTGGTGCAGGGCTGGTCTGTGGGTCAGGCCAGACCCACAGACCAGCCTGGCATTCTAGCATGTGTGGAGTGACCAGAGTGGGCTCCATGTGTAGTCCAGTCCTGCTCCAGCTGCTCCAAGGCTGCACCACATAGCTCTAGAGCCACCACCACAGGCTCCAGAGCAACACATAGCTACTCTAGGGCTGTGCTGCACTCAGTGACCACTCCGCGGTTCTGGGATGCGAGCGGGAGCAGACGCTATGTGGGGGACATAGGCCATCCAATGTGGTCTGCATGCTGCTTGTGGGTCACTGAGACCTACAATTAGCACTGGGGGCAAGGTGATATGGCTCTGCAGTCCAGATCCAGCCCATGGGCAATACCTTTGATATCCCTGAGCTACCAAGTACAAGGAGCCAAAACAACACTAGAAAAAAAAACAACTTTAAATACATACATAATTTTCTCATCCTGTAATGCATACTCAGCTGTTCATGTAAATTTATGGTAAGTATAAGAAACACAATTGAATTCTTCATTTATGTATCTAGTTAATATAAGGCTCAGCTGTAGATACAGTTAACAGGAAAAGATTTGTCCCACCACTGTAATCATTTTCAATGGAGAGAAAAGAGATAAGGTTCACACGCTGAACTTGTGCAGTATGTGATGGGTAAAAAGGTGATGATAATATGGTGGTAAACTGGTCTTTCTTGTCTCCATAGATTGGGACCAGAGGAAGATCTGAGAAGATCAGAACATACAACTACCCACAGGATCGGGTGACTGACCACCGGATAAGCAGATCAGTGCATCACATTGAAAAATTCCTGTTAGGGGAAGAATTGCTAGATGAAATGATAAAATCCCTGAGGGAATATGCTGATTATGAATCTTTAATGGAAATTATTTCAGCAAACGAACAAACAAAACTTACCTGAACTTTGTGCTTTGCCAAGCCCTGGTATGAATGCTTACCCAAATCAGCTGCACAACAGCTTGCTGGAGCATCATACAAAAGGTATAAGTGGCTTTTTAGTTCATGAAAAAGGACCATCTCCTCACTATTTATAGTCAGTTCTTCCACTTGTTGAAGTAGAAGACTGTAGTGTCTTTGTACTAAAACATTGTTGTTACAGTGTTGAAAACTTAAAGTAAAATGACTGAGTACAAAGTGACTGCCGGTTTTGTATCCTCCAGTGAAAAGACACTGCTACTCCACTCTCAAAAGGGATGCAGAAAAAAATGCATTATTTTATGCTTCAGGCTTCATCTAAGTCATAGCCTAAAAGCCAGGTCGTTAAAAAAACAAACAAACAAACAAAACTACACACAAATTACCCTGTTTTTTCTGAATAATTTTATATAAAATGGTTGCTAAATGCCCTCTACAAATCCAGACAAGATGTAAATAAGAATTCTTAAGATTTTGAATGGGGTTGAGGAGTAAAGGGTTATTTTAAAACACTTCCTTCATGTCTTTTTCCTTCATCCACTCCTTTGTTTCCTTTGGCTTCTAAATAGACAGCTAAAATAGACTTCGAGATAAGTCTTTTCTTTTCTTGAATCCTTAGATTATTTCAGTTGCAGTTTGACATCCAGTCTATTTCTTAGTTGTCGGCTTTAATTACAGAAATGTTAAATTGGGTGTGGACTGTTTTTCCTTTTCTGTGACTTTCAGCTATGTGTATAAACAGTCTGATTTGTACGTGTGAAGGAAACCTTGCTTTTCTGGTCTACTAACGTACAGTTGTATACAGTTAAATAGTGGATAAATGGGAAGCATTGAATACATGTTTGCATGCAGTGTATATTTAAACACTGTAATATGACAATCTGAAACCAATAGTGTAAAAGATCCAAAATGTTCTTACCATACTATATCATCATGCATTGCATATATAATAAAATCTATAAGCCAATGAAAGAATCATATCCTGAGTCAGGGCTGTCCAACTTCTCACAAATTGTTAGAGAGAAGTTCAGGCCGGACAGCAGGAAACATTACTTTATGGTTAGGGCTGCCAGGCTCTGGAATGGGCTCCCAAGTGAGGTGATACTCTCTCCTACCTTGGGGTCTTCAAGAGGAGGCTGGACAGATATTTGACTGGGGTGATATGACCCCAGTACCCGTTCCTGCCCAGGGCAGGGGGTTGGACCTGATGATCCCTTTAGGTCCCTTCCGACCCTAAGCACTATGATACTAAGTCATGGGCCAAATGCCCTATGGGCTGCACCATCATGGACTGCGTGCCCAGGGCCACACCAGGATGAATCCACAGACCTTTGGGCAGTATACCATGCAGCCACCTCCCACCCATGCGGGTGTCCAACCCCACTGCTGCACCACATGCCCATGTGGGAGTCCCTTTCACGCCGCATGAAACTGCATGCCCGTGCAGCCCTAGGCTCATCTTGAACTTAACAGTGTAGTTTTTCTAAAAGGTTAGGAAATGGATTTGTTTTGGATGCTTTGGATAGGAATGATCTTGCCTCAGGCAGGGGGTTGGACTAGACCTCTGGAGGGCAGTTCAAGCCCTACTTCTTTCTGATTCTATAAATCCCCACACTGCACTGTCCTTTCACCTGAGTCGAGACAGGAAGTGGAAGCTAGGAGGGAGAGGGAGCCTGGAGACTCCAGTTGCAAAAACAGCCAGGGATAGGAGGAGTGTTAGCTGGCCTGGTAGCCCAGGCTGCAGCTTACCCCCAATTGGACAGCCCTATCCTAAGGAAAGGTGTAGCTATGGGTAAAAATATTTACTTCAGATTTCTGTTTAAAGAGTTCACCATAACATAGAATAAAAGCAAACACATGCAGCAGTGTTTGCTAAATGTTGCTTATACAAAAGGACAATTTTAAAAAAGCATGGATAAAATGTTACTTATTATGTTAAGGAATGCAATTTACAAACTAAACATAAGCACGTTTTTACGTACATTTCATTCTTACATCTACTTGCTTCTATAATTTGAACCAGTAAATGTACAAATTCAGCATATAAAAGCAAGGGTTTCTTTACATCTATCTTTCCAGAGTCTGTTTTGGCTACACTATGCTCCAGTATGGTAAAGCAATACATGTGTTTAATTTTATACATGGAAGTTATGACATGCATAAAGTCAGGTACACTCATTTAGTGACTGCAAGAGTGAGCTTTTGGGGCAAGATTCACCAAAGGACTTAATTACTTCAACGCTTCAATTTATTTAAAAAACAGAAAGTTTAGACTTCTATTCATTGGGGCAGAGATTGGAATACTGACCTTTCCCCTTGCTCCAGCTCAGTGTGCGTGTGCTTGCTCTCGGGCTTTCCCCCCTGTGGGCATATTCACTGAAGTGGTCAAAGTGGAACACCTTGAATGCGGTGCGGGAGAAGAAAGAGTCCAATAGCAGAATATCTTCCACTCCAGTTTGTACAAATTTCCTCAAATATAAGAAGGATTTGAACTCCAGTCTGCCTTGTCCTAAGCTGGCCATTGTGTAGGCAAGTGTAAAGGCTGTCTCTTCTTTCATGCAGTGCCCAGTCCCATAGGAATAGGAAGAACTACCATATTAGGCCCAACAGGCAATTAGAAAGACCCTTGTTTGTGAATCTATTTGGGGCTTACATGTAAGCTAGATACTAGATCAAGCTACTTCAGGATGTGTCCAGGTGTAGACACTTCAACAGTGGAAACTGGTGCATGCAGCCTTTAGGCATCCAGGATAACAACAGGGTTTTGAAGGCATCAGGCTATCTCTGTAAGGTAAACTTCCCTTCCCTGGAAGCAGTTCTTTTAAGCCAGGTGTTTTCAACCTTTTTCTTCCTGAGGCCCACCCCTTGCATGGCCCACCTACTGGTGTCCCTCACTCCCGACCTGCAGCCCCTTGGCCCAGCTGGTGCCCCTCACTCCCAACCCACAAGCCCTCCCGCCCCAGACCTGCCGATGCCCCTTACTCTCAACCTCCTGCCCCCCACTCCCAGGCCCCCAGTGTGTAGGAAAGAGGTGAGATGTAAGGTACAAAGGGGTGTGTAGGGTGGGGCAGCAGGACTTGTTGCTGCCTCTGCTGCCGGGACCCCAGAGCCAGGCACCCTGTCACGCTACCAGCAGTGTGAGGAGTAACAGACTGGGGAGGGCTGTGCTGCCCTCACCTCTTCCCACCATCAGCCGCTCACACGCTGGGCTGCAGCTCTGCCCTGCTGCCGTGGCCCAGCTGCCACTACTGCTGCTGTTGCCGCTGCTGCTCCCCTCAGACAGATTGTGCTGCCCTCCACACCACCTCCCCTCTGGGGTAGAGCCGTGGTCTGGCATGCGAGCAGCTGGCAGTAGGAAGAGATGAGGGCAGCACCCCCTCCTTCCCCTGCCCTGATCCATTATTCCTTGTGCTGCTGGCACAGGGGCTCCAGGGGGCACTGGCAACAAGTCTCGCCACCCCACCGCACCCTCCCACGCTGGGTCCCACTCGCTGGACTACAGAAGCAGCTCTTGACTGTGTCAGTCTGGCCAGGCTGCAGCCCCATGCCCTGCTGTGGGCGTACAAATCTGGGAAGACATGTGCCCTGCCCACCCCTCTGACACATCACCTATGCCTCCCCTGCATCACCTATGCCCTCCCCATTCTCCCACTTCCTTGTTCATCAGGCACAGAGCCCTTAAAATTGTGTGGCTTCCCCGGTTAAGAACCACTGTCTTAAGCAACCTACAGTACCTGCTAACCTGTAAACAGCATAGTCATGTATGAGCTAGTGGGTTAGGTTGGGATTGGTTAGGTTGGGATTAGTCTAGTTGGGACTGGCACTCAGCACTGCTAGTTAGCTTTCCACAAAGTAATCATTAGACTGCTTCTGGTTTAGAAAGCAGCCTACCTGGACCCCTGCAGTGTGACTGAGGGTGCTGCCATTGCAGGAGGCTGTAACGTGCTGTGTAGATATCACCAACATTTTGAATTCAATGTGTCAGGGGCCTGAAGGCTTCTCTGCACTACATTGTCCAGTCCTGAGAAGTGTGGTCATGCCCACATGCTTCTGCACTGCATGCTCTGGATGTTGAAAAAGATTGTGTGACTTGGGTTGGTGAAACGTTGCTAGTTGATGCTTTTTGGCATATCGTGTGTGTAGGCTGTGTTTTCGTGGCAGCAGTGCCCAGCACAGTCTGACAATTTAGACTTGCTTAAAGTTCTGTGGTAGATCTACTCATTCAGCCTTACCATCTCTGTTATGCAAATAAGTTTGGGGTCTTCTAATTGGTCTGGCAGCATAACTGTTACTGCCTGACCATTTCAAAATTCCATCCCATTCTCTGGCATCTGGGATGAAGAAACGATTTTTTTAAAACTGTTTTGTGTCTTCATTCTTATTTGGGATACAGTTTCCTGAGCTGTGAGATGAGTCTGGCCCCTGGCACACGTTACATCTATTGTGTGATTCATGCGGGTTGTGTGTGTCAAATGGTATTATGTAAATAACTTTATCTATCACCCAGCAGAAGGCATTGTTTTCACAGACTTTCTAGAAAAACAAAATGAATTGGGAATTTTATGGATTGCTTTGTCATCCCATCCTCTCCCAATGGATAGATGGATAGTAATAAAACTACAAATGACCAAATTATAAGGAATCTGGTCGTATCCTACCTGACACCATATCCCAACCTGCTCATTGTTCCATTTGTTAAAGCTAAGATAAAAATAAGGAAATGCTAATGGGAACATCCCAGACTGATGCATCCAAAAGCAAAGGGGAAAAAATACTCTTTTTTCCCCCCTTTTCGGGTGAGGGGGGAAGAAGGATAAAAGGAAGGAATTTTACCTCACGAAGGAATTTTACCCCCTGGTCAGATTGGTAAAGACTGTGGGGATTTTTGCCTTGCTCTGTTGGGTGTGGCTGTCTACCCGGGACCATTTGAGCATATATTGGTGATTCTAATATTATAAAAGCCTTAATCTGTCTGTCTGTCCATAACACTTTATTTGCACTCTGATTGGCTCACTCAGAACACGAATACAGTGTTGGGACGGGAGGTGGTGGCACAGCAGAGTGCCACCACGATGGCAGGGAAATGAGGGACGGAGGCCTGCTCCTCCCATCCCCCCATCGCCGCTGCGTTGGCCCAGGCCCGCTGCTCTGTTCTCCCGCTGTGGCGGTGAGGAAGCGGGGAGTGGGCCCAGACCCCAAGCAGGAGGAGGGAAGGGGGAAGCGGGCCGGACTCAGGGTGGGGGGGCGACGGGGGAGGATGACACCCCCCCCCCCGTTATTCTTGACGGGCAGTTGGCTAGTATTTTATAGAAGCGGGACATCAGCTGCTGTGGTTCCTCTGCTTTGCCTGTGGCAGGTTAGGGTGTTACATCTGCATTGCGTCAGGGTTGAGGGTAGTCTTATGTGGAGTTTAGATTATGATTGAACAGGATGGTTTGGATACCGACAGTCTGCCTCAAGCAGGACGGTGGCCTAGGTCTGTGGTGGTCAACCTTTGTTGTACCAGGCCCCATTCGTAAATATCTGTGACCAGTCCCGACCCAGTGCCCCTCACTCTCGACCTACTGCCCCCCAGCATGTGGGGCACACAGGGAGACCCCAAGCAGCCCCTCACAGGTGGAGCTCTGCCAGCCTGCCAGGGAAAAGTCACCATTCCCCACATTTTTCTGCAGTAAAGGAGAATCCACTTTTAAAGTTTGTTCACCCCCCTTTCATATATTTTCATGACCCACGTTTGGGTCGTGCCCCACAGGTTGAGAAGCGCTGGCCTAGGCAGCCTCTGGAGGGCCTTTCCAGCCCTGCTCAGAAACCAGCTGATGGGAGCCTGTGCCTTGCCTGCTACCTCTGCCTCTCAGCCGTGGGGTCCTGACCCAAAAGTGGGGGGCAAGAGTACAGGAAAGGGTTACGAACAGACTTGAACAAGGGACCAGTCTCCTCTAAAGGAGAAAAAAAGTGGGAAGCGATGGC